AATTTTTTATTATGATCATCGCCACTCTCCAATTATGTTAGACATTTTTTATCCATATTTTCATCGTAATCATCACCATCAATATAACTGCATTATTTTACCCAGTTTTTATACTTTGTTAATTCAATTTCTTAGAAACATATATTTTCTTATTTTTTTATTAATAATTAATATTTTAAATTCAATCTTTTAACGATACAATAATATTAAATATTCTAAAAATAGTAACGAATTTAATTGGATCAACTTTTTTATCAATACGATTTTATTCGGAAATATATATCCTCCACTTGAAGGTAACATTTTTTTATATATCACCGTAGGCGTGGTCCAGTTGGCAAAGCAATGACTCTTGGGATTATGAGATGATCTCATGTCCTAGGTTCGAACTGCGCTGGCTAGGAATCCTGGAAAAAAGCGGGGGACAGAGTGGTGGGTTCTTTGAGCCCTTCCGAAAGTTGCCTTGTAAGGTCAGATTCTTCAGTCTGACCTTGGGAGGTCTTATGTTATCAAAAATATACATGAAGCTGATATTTAATTGTAAATGTTAATATAGTATTAATTTCTTTTAAATTGAAATTTGTGTGCTAAGAAAATCAAGGTCTCAAATATATTAGGCCCCGTTTAGTTCACGGATTAAATATTTCTGGGAGTAATCTTTTTTCCGTTTAAGATATCCACGTTTGGATGGTTATTATTTTCCAAGTGAGAGTAAACATTGAATACCAATAGTGAGTTTTTTTTCCTGTTTTACTGGGAATATCAGTCCCCCATCTCTCTTAGGTATTTGTTGATTTGTCCTCGCTAAAATACCCTTCCCCGTTAACTTGCTTTAGCTGAAAGAAAATATTCTTCTTCTTTGATTTGGCGAGAGTTGTTGCGAGGAGTTGTCTCTTGCTCCAACGGACTTCTTCTTCTGTGTTGTGTATCTGCTAATCTCTTGTCAGGTTCGTCTCTCTCTCTCCCTATTTGAAAACTATTTTTTTCCTCTGTTGGTGTAAAGGAACGATTTTGGATCTGAAAACTGGGTTTTTTTCTCTATTCGTGGAAATGAACGATTTTGGATCTGGGTTTTTTTAGTATTGCGAGGAACGATTTTTTTATCTCTGTGTGAATTGGAATGCAGAAATGTTTCTTTCATGCAATGTCTTTCCATGTATGAGCCTTTCTCTCTTCGTTTATTATTTACTTTCCCGATTGTGATTTTACATTTCGTTTTCGATTCTCTAGTTTGTATCCGGATATTTCTCTCTTCTAAAATTAAAAATTATAGTTTAAACTGATGGGATTTCGATTCAGAGTTTTGTTTTTTCAAGTCTGGACTAATTGCAAATCAGATATAATTTCAAGTACTAGATGCATTGCGTACTGTACTGGTTATTCAACGAAACATAAGCGGTCACACTTACTCTTTTACACTCTAGCTAGCAGAATATCTTCACAAATCCAGTTACAGAGAAAATAATAATAATTGGAGCAGAACGTTTTCAGTTGAGATTGAAGATGATGACCCGTTCTCGAAACGGAGGTATTGTTAATTTGTATTGGTCAATAGACGCTTTTATGCTTCTATTTTTTGGATTTGTCTGGTTGCTAATGCTACTAGCAAACTACGAGCAGGAAGATGGATGGTGGGATTGATATCACTCCTGTGGTGAAGCCAATCCGGGAACCACGCGTTGTTGTTCAGACCGTGAGTGAAGTTGATATACTGGATGATGGGTACCGATGGCGCAAATATGGGCAAAAAGTAGTACGAGGAAATCCTAATCCTAGGTATGTATCATTGAATCGATGATTATAGAGTTAGAATGTCGTAAGTTACAATTCAGATCTTTTAAGAAGCTCATCTGTTTCGACATACAGCTTCTTGAAACACCATATTGGCTACTTACCGGCATAAAACTCTGATTGAAGCATGTTATCTTTCATGCCTTTTCATAAATTAGATATGATACTTGATTGCTTTAGGATCTTTATTCAGTTTATCTTCGAGCATTATTTATAATTTTTGTTGTTTTGTGTATGGTTACGTTGCGTGCTGATTTCAAGGCTCATATTCGAGAGTCGTTTGCACATGATTGTTCTTGACCATAGCTTTTTGTTTTATTTTATTATGGTTTTTACATTATATGATATATTTTCTGCTTGCTTATCCATGTAGGAGTTATTATAAGTGCACGAATGTCGGTTGCCCTGTTAGAAAACACATTGAGAGGGCGTCTCATGATCCAAAAGCTGTTATAACCACATACGAGGGAAAACACAATCACGATGTGCCTACTGCAAAGACCAGTAGTCATGATACAGCAGGACCATCAAGGATTAGATCAGAAGAAAATGGTGCCATTAGCCTTGATTGGTGTTGTCATTAATTCCGTTCTCGAACATACTTCAAAGAGCATCAACGATTGCATTCTGAACTGGCCCAATACCGCCCTCAGAATGGTTTCAACACGGTTTAACCTACTCCGCTGGCAACATACTATGGCGACATGAATCAGTATGGATCTCGAGAAAATCCGAGTGAAGGGCGTGGTGTTGGAATTGCACCCCTAAACCATTCTTATGCATTGGCACAGAGCATGGGAAGAATACTAACAGGTCCATAAATCTGTTAACAATGAAGGTGGCTGAATAAGCACTTCATTCCCCCCCCAATCTTTTTCACTGGTAAAAGAAAATAATCGTCTTCTGAAAATCTGGAATTTTCCTATATACATATATATATATGTATGTATGTATGTATTAGTTTACCATTTCAGCTTATCTTTTATGTTGCCAATCACTATTTGTATTAAACTTGGGAGTTTGTACAAAAGTGGAACGGATTTTTTTCACAGGAAAGTGTTTGTAAAACAAGTTCTTGTAATGGAATTTGTAAGAAATACAATATATATTTTCTATCATATCTTAAGAATGTGAGCGTTTTGTCGTAGTTTTTAACTGAAATGTGAACGTTTTCAGGCAAATGGACCAGCTAGCATCATACCCATAAAAAAAGAACATATCCATAACTATGAAATGTTAACATTACAGAGTGAAAACGCGTAAACAAGACAAGCTGCAACAGTTAACCACTATAAATTAATCACTAACATTAATTCTAGAAACACCTTGTTTACATTGCATTCCCTGGAAATGACATGGTTACCAAGTAAGCTCTAATCTGTGTTTGCCATGTTTTCTTTTTCCAAATAAAGGTTGTATCAACACTGTCAAAAAATTATCAATCGGTTAACATCTCGATGCACAGGAAGCGACAATAGCTCGATTCATCCAACCGAGATAAAGAACATCATCCCTCTCTCTTCAAGTGCATACTTGTCACAATAGCTTTGGAGCAGAGTTTTGATGGTATTGTTGATGAATGAACTTAATGGAGAGGGTGTAAAGCCAGCCATAATAAACCTTGATCTCCATTTGCCTAGAAGTTCATGACTACTCTTTCAGGCCCTTGCATGCTATAATGTTGACGATCTCCCAGGCCATACAGTGTTGTTCAGTTTTGATCCGCTCCTTGTGTTGATATAAAATTTTAATATATTTTACATAAATTATGTAAAATTTAATATTAATTAAAATTAAAATAATAAATGATATTTAAATACTCAAGTAATATATTATCGATAAATTTTTATATAAATAATTTTGATTTAAATATTTAGAATTTCACTTGTTAAAAAATATAGAACAAGGACAATTTGGTAAATATACATTCAGTAATTTATTCCTTCAACCAAATACTGTAATCTTACATTCATGCTAAACAAACCAAACACAATAATGTAACATTCCCAGTACTGTGTTAGGTAATGTTACATTCCGGTAATCTTATTCCCGGAGGTAATCTTATATTCCGTGAACTAAACGCACCCTTAGGGTCATGTTTAATATTGTCTATTAAAAGTATTCTTGAGATTAAAAATATTTATTGAACTATAAGTAATGTTAAACAGATTTTAAATCACGATTCATCCCATATATATTCTCTTAATTTGCGATTCATATCCAATCAAATTATTATGGCTTAAATATATAAAAGATGTCTAATTTATGCTCTCTTTTTTTAGTTTAGTGTCTAACGTTTATTTACTTCTAGTTTGGTGCTTAATGTTTCATTCTGTTACTCAAAATGAGTCAAGCCGTGACATAACGTTAGTTTTCTCCGTTAAGTGATACATGTCACAATCTCATAATTTTGAAATTTATTTTTTAAAATATTATTATATTCATAAAAAAACTTATTTCTTTTAAATTACAAAAAAAGCTTCAAAACCCTTAAAATGCCCAAACCCTAATATTAATTTGTCGTTGCTGCCATTTGCGGCCACAAATACCACCACCGCCTACATAGTCTTTGTCATCATCCTAACTATAAGTCGTTGTAGTTGTCGTCGATTGACCGTCAAAATCGCTTGGGATTGTGATTTTTATCATAGGGTTCGCGGGATATAAAACGTCAATTCGTCGTTGATCAGTCACAATTTCATAGGGGTTTTGGTCATCATGATGAGGAGAGATCACGGCAAAGTATGATGGTCGGTGTGAGTTTAAGGGTTGAAATGAATGTTTTTAAAGTTTTGGGTTATTTTAAAATTTATATATTGTCTTTTTAAATATATATATATTTATTTTTTAATTTTATATAAAATTTAAAATTATCATATTGTGACACGTGTCATTTAACAGAAAAAACTAACAGTCCATCACGGCTTGGCACATTTTAAGTAACATAATGAAACGTTAGGCACCAAACTGGAACGAAATAAACGTTAGACACTAAACTTAAAAAACGGACATAGATTGGTAACTTTTTGTATATTTAAGCCAATTATTATTAGAGGAAGAACTTAACAAGTATTAAATCAAGATTCATCCAATATATATCTCTTAATTTGCAAGTTCAGTGTACAAATTCATAAATAGATTTGTAATTATGTGATCATAAATAGTGCATGAAAAAGAAAAGAAAAATGTGATCATAAATAGTGTGAAAAGAAAAGAAAAAGCAAGAGACTTGATTGAAGTAACTTTAATAATAGAGTTTCCTGGACGAACCGCAGCTCATTTATTGTAATTTTAAGGCTTCGTTATCAAATAGTTATCACTGAAGATTTATAAAGTTGTTCTCAATCATCCACTTGAGGCTCCAATGGTTTTCCTCGCATTTATAAGACCAATACGCCCACCCAAAAGTTGCAGCACCATAAACATCCATCTGAGCTTTCACAAATCTCTTGTAATCTTCCATTGATGCATCGTCTCGATCGAATTCTCCAGTCCATTCCCCTGCAGAAACCAGTTTTTCACCACCATTCAAATTCAATTCCATTACATTTGCATTTCTAACTGAACTTAAATTACCAACTAAGACCGGGGACCGTTGGAGATCAAGCGGCCGAGATCGGAAGCTCGTTGAGTATTGATATAATCGATGTTCTGTTGTGGAGTCAAGCTTCTAAAGTTATCTGAAAAGAGGTTGTAGTAATGAACATCGATGGCAACTCGATTCATGCTAACGGCTAAGGAGTAGAGCTCCCTTGGATCGGCATTTCCAATCGAGCCGATAGGATCACATATGCATTTGTTGTGTACTTCCTGATGGCATCGTATCCAGCTTTGTAATATTCGTAAGTGCATCTAAAGTTACACCGGGTGCGTAGGCTCGTTCATCAATGCAATTGCAGCCAAACCTGGTCTTCCACCATCTGTCAAGGAATTATATTCAACATTCAAATTGCCTAGGCAAAAGCATGACATAAGTGGTTAGTCTCATCTTAACCTTGCTGCAAGGGACTCTATGACTGCCACAGTCTCGTCGATGTTGGAATCTCCCCATTCCTGGAAACGTCTCTCGACCCGCTGTGATCGTTACCGTTCTGTGAGGCTTTAACAGCGTGCAAATCGACAATCACCTTCAGCCCGTATTTCCTGCATTGATTCCGAACATAAGATTCTTTAGAATTTTAAGTCTTGTTTGTGTCAACCCTCCAATATTTCCTTACTCTGCCCATGTGAAAGCATTGTCTAGTGCTTTTGAAGAGCCTCCAACAAAAGGCGGTGGCGGAGTCGGATCCTGCGCTATCCACCATCCCACAGGTATCCTCACGGCACTCAGTCCCTTTGCTGATGAACTTGAAATCTTCTTCGGTGATGTAAGAATTCCAATGATCCTGAAAAAATTATGGATTTCGTCCAGAGTCAATTCGAGTACACTCTGGCTTTAACTTGATTAAGGGAGTAAAAAGAGCCTTAATCACCTGCAGACTTGAGGGGCTTTATCTGGACCATAACCATTGTGATTTGAAATTCACCTCGTAAGGTGTTTACGATTGTCATTTTGAACACAGAGGATCGCTGTCGTCCCAACTGGACCCTGCATAATCTGCAGTTACCAGCGTCTCCGATTGTGCCTGTAGGAACAAGCCATTGATGCTTGGAACCGAACTCGACTCAGATCATCATCTTTCCTTACAATCTGAAATGTCTCTAAACCGGTGGGTGTATTTGAAACAGCTTCTACACCTCCACTCCCTACTCCCACAAATGCTTGTGAGACACTCTCAAGTTGAAATATGACTCATTGACCTCCACAACTGCCATCAAAATTCCAAGATTGGAACAAAAGCTTTGCGAACTACTCATTAAAGAAAAAAGCTGATGAGAGAACAAACCTGAAGGTTTCCCAATCAGAAGGTGAGGGACGGTTGGCTACTACAACCGTTCCACCACCGTTTTCAGCGCACAGATACTTGTTTAGCTTCGTTGAGAGAACTGAACTTGAGTTCCATCCTATACCAATTGACAAAAATAAAATGAAAATTTCTTCTGATAATTAAACTGAAGAGAAGGGAAAATATATTACCAAAAGATATTTGTTAATTATTCCATCAAAACGAGAAGGTTTCATCCATCCTTCAGTGACCAGCCAGTTGCCAAGGTTTACAGCCCTCAATGGCAGCTTAAGGTCTGCATTTTGTGCATGTGAAGAAGAGGGAAAACATGAAATAAGGTTGAAAATAAGAGAAAAGCCAAGTAATGTTTACCCTTCCTTTCTTCTAACTTTTTTTTCTGACAGTTTGGAGAACGATCTCAAATTATAATTGCAAGATCGCCTTAACGACTACGATTTTTTGTGTTCACATCAACGTGCCAAACGTTTGGGTAATTTACACAAACAGTCATCCAACAATAAAATGATTATTTTGGATCCTCAACTATAAAAAGTTATAAAATGATCACTTAACTAAAAATAATAACAACTTGATCCCCTTTAGATAAAAAATTATCAGGATATGACACGATAATTCATAAAATTGGTATAATAACAATTTAACCATCAACATTTACATTTCATTTAGGTTTATCCTAATTCTAAAAAATTAATCATCAACATTTCAATATTATATTAATTTAATCTCTCTTCTAACTCTTACATCCTCTTCACCACACCATTAACACATTCTGACGTCGACTAGTCTTTCTCGAGCATCTCTATCAACGCGTTTATCACATCATGCATCTCAAATGCGCTTTTCTAGTCGTTCACTATAACCAAGGCAACCATCCGTTTTTTCCTACGCATCCGCTAATCAAATGAGATCCAAAAACAAAATATATTGTTACAAACATGAAATATGTCAACCCAACCACCGTCAATTTGGTCCTAATTCTAAAAAAAAAATCATCAACATTTCATATTATACTAATTTAATATTTCTTCTACCTCGTACATCCTCTTAATCACCACCATCAACTGCTCTCGATCACTGGCTTACATGTCGACCCGATCAAGTTAAATCCTTTCCCTGACAGTATATATACCTAATTATTTCAATGCTATTTTGGTTCCCTTCCTCAGTTGTACCGTATACGAAGAACTTTCATAAATAATGGATAGCATGTCACATGGGGTACATAGTTTTACACTAATGATTTTGGAAGACGCATAAGCAATGACCAAATATGCAAATGGGGATGTGATATTTGTCAAAGACAATGGGTTAAGGGAACTTTAGTTGCCCCCCACCATATCAGACTCAAACTTTCCATATTGTTTCTTTAGTGGAAAAGACTTTAAGGTCTGCTCCATCTTTTTCACACTTTTTGTCACTCTTTGAAGTATACGGTATAAGATTCCACTCATATCAACAAGAGGGGTTAGGATAGCGCAACGTGCGCAGAACAGGGCCCGGAATAGTAGAGCATCAAAATTAAATTTATTACTATTGTTATAATAATAAAAACAAAGTATTATGGATCTCGCAAATTTTTTGGGCTCAAAATCACAGAATCTGGTCTAATCTTGAAGTCATATGAGAAATATCAATAATTAGTATTGTGCTACAGTTGTAAAGTTATCTCTTTTAAGAATTTGCACAGGACCTCTAACGTCCTAGCCTTGGTCATGTATCAACCGCTTAAATTAGTAATATATGTACCTTATTGTTCAAAATGCCTCCATTAAAAATTAGGATAAATTTTAAGCTTAGTACCCTAACGTTGCGTTTTGGTTTTAATTTGATCACTTGTTATTAAAAAATAATTGTGATGTTGACGTATCATCCTAAGAGAACATCAAATCATCATTGAAAAAAAATTAAAAATATCATGTTAGTAATTCTGGTAATTCTCTAACGGCAGAGGATCTAAAAAGAATTAAAATGTAACGTTAAATATAATTTTTAAAAATTTAATAATAATTAAATGATTAAAACGAATCAAAAATGATAGTTTATATTAAAATTAATTTTACGCTAAAAATTATTATAGTTGTTGCTATTGTTGAAAAAAAAAGAATCTAAAACAATAAAACAATGGAACCTTTACCAATCACGCTTCTACCTGTACGTTTTTAACACTTTTTAAATCATTTTATTAGCCAAAAGTTTACAATACCCGAAAAAGATGAAAAACAGAGGATTGAAGTAGGCTATTTTTCTGCCACGTATTATATCTTTGAAGTGAACAAATCAGATTTATTTTCCATATCGATTTTATAATTTATATTTAAGGTTTATAATTATAATTATTTTAAAGTTTGAAATATGAATTTTCTTTAATAATATGATATATTTTACGGTAAATTACACTATAATCACTCAATTATTATAAGATTACAAATGGGTCATATATTTTCAAAACAAATATAGTTAATTGATTATCACAAATAAGTTATTGTGCCATAAAAAAATAAAGGTCGAAAGATTCCATTAGGAAACATTTTTAATGGTTTTGTTATTGGTAAATTACATCACAACTCATCCAATTATTAGTATAATTACAAATGGGTCATATAGTTTCAAAAAGTTGAAATGAGTCACACAATTAATTGAAAAAGAAAATCAGAATAAAGATCTCATTTAGCGTTCTAAGATTCTCAAAGATCAGGAGATTCATTTGACGATTCGATTGATGGGAGACTTTTATTTGTGAGAGGAAGAACATAGCTCGAAAATGTAGATCATTATTCAAGAAATTTACAAGTTTTTGGATTATTTTATGGTTTTCGGAAAAGACTTTCAAGAATCTAATTTGTTGAACTAAACAAGGAGATCGAAGTGAATCTTATGATGAAATTTGGAGGTCATCGGTCACTATAAATCAATTAATGTCGATTACATGTTTTGCGACAATCGACTAATCAATTTGTTTATTACTTTTAAATCAAATAATTATTTATAATTTTAATAATAATTTAGTGACATGCTATATAATTTACCATAAGCTGATACGTTTTATTGGTGGAAAAAGAAACCTTGTTAATTACGATAAATAGTTAGGAAAAGAAAATCAGCTTTGGGTCACATCACACATGGAGGGGTTTAGTTCATCACTCATCAATATTGAGACCGACCAAAGCATTTAAGCTGGTCCTGACCGGGCCACACCTACGATTAAGGAGGAAAAGGTATTTGTATTTGTTATTTATTATTCAACAACGTATTATTTAACATTTACAAATATATTCATTTTAATGTTCATAAATATATTTTTTAACGTTTGTTTATATGTACAATTTTTAGTTTTTTATTTCTTTCATTTACAAGTTAAAGAAAATGATAAAATTATGTCACTAGTGCTTAAACTCCTTAAGAGTCATAGTTTAAACTCTAAAATACACCATGTGTTCAATTTAGTACATACATTCATCAATATTTAAAATGTAGAAAACTAAAGGAAAAGAAGAACTGGATATCGAGCTTCTAAACGAGCCATTAAACGATCTTATAAACAAGTTTATTCATGAATATGAACGAACGAGTCGATAAACGAGCTTGTTCGCGAACATAAACAAATCAAACATATATATGTTTGTGCTCGTTCATTTATTAAATGGACATAAAAAATTGTTCATACTCGTTTATTTAACTAAACAAATTATTCATTAGAATCGTAAAAATCAAGCATGTACCCACAATAAATATTTAAGGCATTATGTGAAGGAAAATCTAACATAATTGGCTGGAGATCCCTAGATCTATGTTTAAAGGAGTAACCTATTTGTATAGACCTTGTGAGGTCATTATGGGGTTATTATCTAATGTTCATTCTTATGATGAAAATAATGATTAAAATATGGAAAAGACTAAGTAACACTTCTAATAATCATTGTGTGATTTGGTGAGCCGAACAACATGAGTCACATATGTGAGAGTAAAGGATGGTCGCTTCAAGGATACTACTAGGTAACAATTATCTAAAATTCTTGTAGAACCAAGAGTAAAGTATGGACATTTCCATGAGAATAAGAATCTTTTCAGAGAGATATTTGTATGACGTATATCATCATTTACATAAGTGATAGAACAGTTCAAGGATATCGTGTCTACTAATAAACTAGTAAAGTAAATATACTTTCACAATGGAAAATTTAAAAGTTGATGCATACCTATCATATGAAAATATTGAACATAAATTCTATCACCACATCGAGTCATTGAATTTTATTGACCTATTAATTTCATTTATGTGGAGACTGTTGATAACTCCGTAAAAAGTTCATATTTAAGGCCTTTTCACTTAAGTTATTGACTGTCTAAGAGCTCATATAAGATCATACAGATTCATTTATGAGCTATAGTTGCATATGGTGGAAATATATTTGTTGTGGCATTTTATTTTGTAAACGATGATACGTTATGAGGAAGATGTTTTGTGTGATGATGTGCAGGATTTGGGAGCAAGGATAAATGAGGAGAATTATCGTGACATGCTGGGAATGTTGAGCATGATGAAAATATCAACTCGTATGGCATTTCAGAAGCGAAAAAGACAAAGGAATATATTTTTAAGAGTCATATGTCACTGTCTTCACGTGCCTTCTGCTGCTAGATACCTAGGAGGGAACATCTGCCTTCTGGGTCGGTTGATCCTGTCAGCACGTACGTCCAGCTACAAGTCTCCCATGATGGACCATTGCCAGCCTCCTAGGAGAGGACCACTACCACCTCTGCATCAATCGTTTTCCCCCCACTATAAATAGGAGATAAAGCCACTAGATTAAGAGACCCTTTTACACGCCGTTTGAGCTTAATTTTAAAAGAGAAAATGTCTCTCCTTTTCTCGTCAATCATTTTTGTCGTGGAATTCCTCCATTAACAAGCTAAAGGGAGTGGCGAGCTAGGCGTCCGAGAGGAGATAGCGAGCTAGGGCAGCTCGTGGTGACTGAGGGGAGCTCATGCAGTGCACGTAAAAGGCTTTTCCTCCATCCCATTGTTATTCATATCATTTATCATATTTGGGTTGCATGGATCAAATGAACTTCATGCCTTGTTGCTTGGAATATTCGAACCCCACCGTGAACTAGCCTTATTTGGTGGGAGTTCATTATGGATACTTAAGTTTTATTTTAATGGATGGTTGTTTTTTTATGATGTTATTTGTTTTGCTTATGATGCTTAATGACTTAAGGTTGTAGGAGCTATAAGAGTAGTCATTCCTTAGGAGAATGCTTAGTGTTCAATAGAATGACTAAGTAACATATCTTTAGTGTTCGAGAGAAACTAAAGAGAATACACATAAGCAAGGGGTTCTAGATAGTAACTAGACCTAATCCAACCTTAGACATAAGGCTTGGATTTA